GGCAACGGAAGCGTAAAATGCAGAATTATAACACCAACGGTAGTGCAAACAGAATTTAATTTAATACCCTTTTATCATCAGTCACCGCGTTTAAAGGTCACTCGTTTCAAGAAAAAGAAAGAAGAGAGATGGGGTGTGGGCAAGGAGGGAGGGTAAGTGGCAGCCAGAGAAGGTTCAGGGGAAATATGGAGATGAGATCGGATTTACTGTTATGGTTTAGGAGTGGGGGAGGGGCAGAAGTGGTGTCGGAGGCTGTAGAACTGCGGTAAATGGAGACACGATCATAGGCTGACACGTTAATGACTGCATGCGGTGATGTTTGAGTGGACACTATTTAGACATACATTCACTCACGAGTCAAGTTCCAAGAACGCATCGATAATGCGCAGTGCTGTCAAGTTTTTTTTCCATCTGTATTCCACAATCAGGACTGGCGTGCATTTGTCAAGGTGGTCACGTGGACGATCAGTAACCGCGTTCGCGCTACTTGTTGCAGATGTTCGTGGTTTTCTGTGGGTGCATTTACCAAGTGGATGATAAAGATGCCATGACATCATTTGAAAAACAAGTATAACCCGTAAAAACAAAGTTTTTCACTATCAATCCTTTATATGCGTGGTGGCTAGAGTCCTCTCGTCCTCTGGCTTGAGATGGCTGCCACCTATGGGTCAGATGATTGCATGGCACCATTAAGCAATTGGTAATTTAATATAATATTTTTGTCCTAAAAAGTGTAAAATTTTGGAAAAAATTGTTCACGAACATTCATTGTCACGCACAACGAGTCTGTGTGGAAAATGTCAGCTCGATTGGATCACGGGAAGTGGGTTAAAAAACGACCGAAAGATTTGCACGGTCGTAAGCAAGCAAGCAAGCGCGCAAGTGAACTTAATATAAAGAATTTAATAAGTATAACCCGTAAAAACAAAGTTTTTCACTCTAAATCCTTTATATGCGTGGCGGCTAGAGTCCTCTCGTTCTCTGGCTTGAGATGGCTGCCACCTATGGGTCAGATGATTGTCTGCAGTATTAAACAATTGGTAATTAAATATTTAATTTGTTTTCCCTAAACAGTGTAAAATTTTGAATTTTTTTTCACGAACATTAATTGTCTCGCACAACGAGTCTGTGTGCAAAATGTCAGCTCGATTGTATCACGGGAAGTGGGTTACAAAACGACCAAAAGGTTTGCACGGTCGTAAGCAAGCAAGCAAGCACGCAAGCAAGCAAGCAAGCGAACTTAATATAAAGGATTTAAAAATAGGCCATGTCTGCCGGTGTCGTGGTTCAAGTAGATTTTTCTGTTTTTTTCCTAGATGTTTCTGTTGCGCGTCGTCACTTTAAGATGTTCTTTATTCATGTTTGTTTGTTGATTCAAGAGCCGCATGGCTCATAGGGCTATACCTAATTAATGAAATAAAAACTTAAAAGTATGCCAAATTTGAAATGTTACCGACAAATCGCTTGATTTTGTAAATCCACATCACAACTTCACCCTCTACCGGCAGACGACATCCATCTGTAAAAGCTTGTGGTATAAAAATGGCGCAAATAGCAAATGTACTACGTTATTAAATGTTATGTTTCGAAGGGTGTGAATTTAAATACTGTTTTAGAGTTGACGCAGCCCATCATCTTTCTTGGCTCAATGAAATGAGGGGCACTGTGTGAATATTCATTGGTGACTGTCCTTGCTGAGAGCCACTGTTCTTGCTGAGAGCCACCAGTGAATATGAGTGCCACCACATTACTCGGTGATATTAAACATGTGCATGAGTTGAAGGAAGCTGATTATCAATTTCTTCGTTCAGCTGTTACAAAAAAATAACACGAAACTTTGTTGGTATTATTTATTTTAATATAACTTCCACTTACCGCCTTGCTCGTGTCAGACCACGAGTGTGTGAACTTCTGTGTGCGTACTCGTGAGTGTTTGTGCAGTTGAATAACAAGTGCAAATTCGTTTTTCTTCAACGGTTTTACTTAACGCGATTCTCGTGTCGTGGTCAAATCTTGTAATCAAAATTTAGTTTACTTCCTGTTGACCAATCAATTCCAAAATTTTCACACGTACTCAGATCCGGTGACAATGCATGCCTGTATCAAAATCGACATCAATCAATTAATCCGCTACTTTAAAGCAATTCACATTTTTTATGGACGCCTTATCTCCATATACAGTATATAAAAGGCAAAGTTGTGATTATGTGTGTCTGTTCAAATTTTTTAGCGTACTTCCCGACATGCAATAATCTGGAAATTTGCCATGTGGGTACTTTCCAGACTGTACACCATGCAAAAATTATAAAAAAGACACTTTTATTATACATTTTTTTGGATGGGGGAGCTCAATAATCCATATCTGTTTTTTGCACGGCAAGTGAGCTGTGACGTCAAATCTGTCACGTGACCCGCGCATGTGGAAGCATAACGCATTGTCGTGTCGTGGTTAGCGCGCTGCGCTTCGAACCCGGCGACAATAGTTCGATCCCCGCTCACGGCCACCACCAGTGACGATTATTTGAACCGGTCCTAGGCCTCCCCTAGGTCGACTCAGCCTCAAACAATTAACTGGTGTGGTGTGTGAACATCGCCACTGGGGAGACAAAGGCGGCCGGGCGTGGTGAATCCAAGTCCCGGGCGAAGCCGGCTAGTTAAAGCTAGTTATTTATATATATATTTGTGTGTAGGTCAAAAAGCCGTGGTCCCCAAAACTCTCGAATCGCCTCGCCCAGGAAGCAGGCTCCACGTGTTTCAGGCGCCACGTGCTTCAGGCGCGCCTGCTCCTTGTGAACGAGTTTACGGGCACCCTCACTCCACACAAACAAAAAATTGTACATTGAAGATTAATTTATAAAGTAATCAATTAATTCAAGTAAGCGTTGATGTGCGAGCAGGCGCCGCATCATTGACGTACTTCTCGACCGTCAGTTAAACGAAGTTGTTAATAAAAACCGTGGACATGTGTCTGCACTGTTTATAACCCTCACACCCAAGGAAACGAGCAAAAAATGGAAATGCCTTCAAGAAATCTAATCAATATTTACCTCAATGAGTTTTGTATACGACTCACAATCATCAGCTATCCACTGTTGGAAGAAGGCCTCCGCAATCCAACGGAATATCTCACTATACTCTGATTATTAATCCACTGAGCGCCCGCACGCGACCTGATTTCATTGCTCCATATCTTCGGTAGACGTGCTCTCGGACCAGTATAAAACTCATTAAATGTAAAGATCACACGTATAGCATATTCCAAGAGATATTCAAGTGAGAATGACTCTTAAGAAGTGAAATTGGTTTCCTGATTAAATGGGTGCTGAGTGACCCTCATCTTCCATTTACAGCCTTGAACTAATGGATAAAATTAGACGTTCCTATGGCAGGGGCAAGTATTTCTATAGAATACCACTGTTGACTTCCCACAAAGATACTTGTTTTATTACCCTGCGGGGATGATGGGCTAAGTTAATTTCTGACTGGAATTTGAACTCACAATAATTTTAAATGACCTGCATGATCTACCCACTGTGCCAGCTGGCCAGATATATAATTACACTAACTATAATTGCACATTATCATTACGTAGAATTATCTAAGGCGTTTGTAATTGTCAGGGCTCCTGAATAATTGTATCCAGTCACAGTTTACATAGCTTATGGTCGGTGCAAAGTTGATGAGAGACAATTAAGTTTTGGATTAAAATTGCAATCACAGAGAGCCTTGGTTAAGTTGTTCATTCAACTTTACTGAATGAAGCCTATGCCTGTATGTCATACAACTCTGAAATGTTGAAGTGTTTATTATTGGATGATTACATGATGATTAAAATGTGAAAATCAAGTACTGTATTACTCTCCCCATTTTCAATGTCAATGGATGTCAGTTTTCCCAGAATAATGGAACTTCAGTTTTCCCTTAAATACACTGCCTATATTCCTGTTTATCAAATTATAACAAGGCATCTGTGTTTATCACATCCATTAGCAATTCTCAATCTACTGCAGGGAAAATGTTTCTTCCAACTCTCCTTCCCTCTAACCCTCAAACTTTTTGCTACTCTTGACCACTAACTCCTGCAAATGTCTTGAACCCATTACTTTAACATTGTGATTTAACAATACCCTTCAATTGGTTACCAGTTGGTATCTCTCATTGTCCATCTGTAGTTTACCCTTCAGGCCATGTGCTAGGCCCAGTTCCAATTTAGCCACTTAATGTTCAGCAAGATGTCCTTGAATTGTGTTTCATTCGCAGTGCAGTTACACTATTTGATTTTTCGTTCATGACACATTTTTGTGTAGTGGCTAGTTTCCAATCTGTCCTCTTTGTCAAGGACCAATTTCACATTGCCGTTCATATACATGGATTATATAATTTCCATTTCAATCACAGGGGAAGATTTATTCTTATATATGCCGACTAATTTCTTGAAAGGTGCTCATGATAATGACCAGATCAAACAATAATTGTAATTTATCAAGGGTATATATGTAGTGAACATTGCTGCTTTTTCCCACCAAGTGTTTATGGTGATCGGCTGTCTTAAGGGTCCGTCAACATATTGGCTTTTAGTGCCAAAATGAAGAGCAGTTAGACGTTACATTTAAAGTCAGGCATCGCTACCATGTTACATACGAATATAGAGGAATACTCATAACAAACGTACCCATGAAGCATGTGTGGGCACGTTGGCAGTGGATTGGTTAGCACACTGCTCTGTGAACCTGGTGACCCGAGTTTTGATTGCCAGCCACAACATCCCTGGTGAATTATGATCAAGTGCTGAGCCCAGTGGAGGTCTTCAGCCATCAGTAGATTGACAAACGGCTCTAAATCATAACACGTTATGCTTTGAGCAACATACACCACACGGCATATGTATTAACATAATTATTGTTATTACTATTTACGTAAAGAGCACTGCGTATTGTTCCTCCCATACGCATTGTGTGCGGTATAACCTATTCTCTGTTCACGGTGCCTTCCCTTGACAGTCCCACGAGTTGGTGAACACGGCCGTGCTGACCGGCAGGCCAGTGAACATACCTCTCAGAGTCATCATGCTGGAAGCAAATGGCACCTTGTCAGACGTGACGCAGCGCTCTCACTGCCAGTCGGAGGACGAACATGTCATCAAGGTACAGTATAATTTACTCTTTCACGTGAAATCATAGTCGCACTCCTATGCTTTTGAAGAGCCTCAGTAACTGGTAGTTGCTAAAAAAAAACCTGTTAATAGAAATAAATCCGTCAGCGGTGCAAACTCACCTTAGTATTGGTTGTACTGTCAGACAAACGATCAACGTATTCAAAATGAACCCATCACAATTTATAATTCGTAAATAAACGGTAAAATGGTGGGATGTTATCTCCCTCACCTGGTACGAAGGAGGTTACTGGGTTCGATCCTGTATATTTGGTTCTCTCTCCCTGTGGTCGCTGGGATTTTTCTCTGGGTCATCCGGTTTTGTCTTCCATTTTTTGATTAATTCGTGTAGAGTATTTGGTTACTATACATTGCTGCATGTGATAAGCTACTTCGATGAGCTGTTATTTGTGAAAAGGTCGCCTCTGAAAAAAGAGCTATTAGCTCAGTGGGCTTTACTTGCCAAAAAAAGTAAGTTAAGTTTTTTTTTATCTACGTTTTTATGTTTACTTTTTATTAAATGTTTACGTGTTTAACTATATACATTAACACTATGTTCCGAACCATTCGAATAATTATATATCCATAGGCACCATATTTTTTTATTCGTATCAGATTATATTTTTAAGCTGTTCCTCGAAGATCAAAGCCACATTTTATTTTAATGTCTTCTGCGATGCATTTTCTGTGTGTTATTCCCCCGTTTAGATCTTCAAGAAAATATAGCACTTGAAAGACCCCTAGGCTTTTCATTTATTGCACCCATAGTCAGAGTGACCCATTGACCGCTGTCTTTGTGTGGTTTAATTAACATTGCAGGGGACTACTTGCTAATTACGTGCCAGCTTGTATAAATAAAGACAGTAAGGCCTGAAGCGTGGAGTCCCATCAACTATTAATTAAGCTCGCACGTGGCCCTCCTGTGGTGGACAGATTCTTCCAGATCTTGCTGCACTTTTTCTGGATCAAACATGTCACTAAGGGCACATTCCCTTATCATAGGCAGTACATTTTAATTGGAGCTATTGTGTCACAAAGTCTTATGCGAGACTTGAAAAGGCTTTTTTACGAAAAAATAAATAAAATTTCCATAACTCTACATGCTTCCTTTGATATTGTGTTTTATAACAAGTATATATTTAAAAAACAAGTTTAACGTGCTGCGATTGGCATGTCTAAGGCAAATAATAGTACTTCACAAGGTCTCTCCATTCTATATGCCCTACCCAATTATTACTCAAAGTACATCTCACATGGCATGTCAGATGACGAGACTCTTCAAAGCGCTTCACGTTTTGTTGATAGACTGCAAGAAAGGAAATATTGGAATTAATTTGCTACATCCAAAAGGCCAAGTACATGCTAATTCTAGGTTGAAAACAACTTGTGCACATCCTCACGAAAAGCACAATGTGGTTGACAACGTATTGTTAATGTAAATGTATGCAAGATAGTGTTTTTATTTTTGTTATAAGGGTCGCACTATACATTTATGGTGCATTTTATTTCGAAGTAAGTATATCAACACCGCAGGTGCTATTTCTCATTGATGTATTAATTCGGATATGATGCAATTATTTGATCAGCAGGTCCATTTTGGTGGGTTAGAGAGTGGATACTACCACGTCTTCCAAGAAGTGACCAGAATGAAAGAGTAGGCCAAAAATACCCTCAAGAGGGGTGATCGAGAGCTCCCTCTAGTCGTGGCCCTTCCACCGACAGTGGTGTAAGTAATTGCAGGGCTGCACCTTTCATCTGTTATTATTGACACAAATATAAAAGCCTCCATATCCATTCTAGATTTGAAGCTTTCGTGACTGCAAGGATTCATATTCTTAGGTTTTTTCGGTAAAGTCACGTAGGTAAAAAATTTAAATTAATAAAATAAAATAAAAATAAAATAAAAATCACGACGTTTTGGAGGCAACACAAGCTTCCGTATTCAGGTGGAACCGTCACAGCACGACTGCTGCATCAAGCTGCATCAAGCAGTCGTGCTGTGACGGTTCCACCTGAAGACGGAAGCTTGTGTTGTTGCCTCCGAAACGTCGTGCTTTTTATGTTATTTTTTATTTTACCTCCATATCCAATCAAATAAACTAAATTACCTCGCTATCCTATTCAGGTCCCCGTAGAAAAAAATGCAATTATTTGCACTTTGTCAGTGTCAATCAGCATCTAGCAAAAGAACAGAAGTACAAATGTACAATGCTTATTGACTTTTTTTTTCAACACACAATGCGCACTGAAATCGTGCAGCGGTGGGCTCCCCTTTATGCTACGACTTAAAAAAAAAACTCATCCGGGGAAATTAGTTTTTTCCCCATCAGCCTTCTTCTAGAAACGTACAATAATTCGTATTGCATTGTAGGTTTCCTCGGCCTGCCAGTCTGCGTACGTGCAAGGAAACGAGAGCAGGGGCTCTGTGAGGGCTCGTCTCCAAGTGAGCTATGAACACCTGCGCACCTCCCTGGACCTGACCGTCTGGCTGCCCAAGCTGCCTCTTCACATAGAGCTCTCCGACGGCCAGCTGAGCCCCATCAAGAATTGGCGGGTGCCTATTCTTTACGATAAAAGGTAAACTAATTAAGAATTGCCAGGCACCCCCCCCCCCCCCAAACAAGGAAATCGTGTTGTGTGTCATTACATGTGTTAAGCAGTAGAGCAGAGAGACTAACAACAGAGAGAGAGAGACAGTAAAATCAGCATGGAAGGATGGACGGTGATAATGTTTTGTAAATGGAATTGTGTAAATATGGAATAACTAGCTTCTTTGCCCGTCCTAGGACTGAAGCTGTAATATTTACGGAAAAAATGAGCAGAGTATAATTGTATCTTGTGTAAATTGAATGGCAGTGAATCTTTCACGAAAGTATGTCATAAAACAACACTTCACTGCATTTCACTGTAGCATTGTATATAACTGACCTTCAATTTGTTCTAATTCACTGCTCTGATAATTTATTCTCTTCTGCTTTCGGTCGCTGGGGTTCAAATAAATTGGATTGCAATACAATATCTGGAAAATCACCGAGAAATATCAACTTAACCGAAATGTAGAAGCATAAATTAGACTTATATTTTGTCTCAAGTGCTGAAGAAAAAAGTAAAGACCCCAAATCCACTTTGTTGCTGCGTAGAATGATTTATTAGATTCACTTTCAATAAAGAAACGTTAAATATAAAGCGAATTTGCGAAAAATATATTTCCGTCGACCTTTTTAATGAGGTGGGGGGGAGGGGTGCGGCATGTGTAGTGACGTCACACGCGGGATACAAACTCCCTCATTAATAATCATGAGCGGATGACGTCACTCACGTGGACCCCGGCCCCACCTCCTCATTCATAATCATGAGCGGGTCATTATTTTCGATTGAATATTTCAGATTAACGGCTATAGGCTACTTTTTATCATAATTTAGAAGCAAATATTAGACTTACCTTTTGTTTCAAGTGCTGAAGAAATGCATAAAGACACCAAATACACTTTGTTGCTGCGTAGAAATATTGATTTGATTACATTTCAATAAAGAAACGTCAAATTTAAAGCGAATTTGCGTTAAATAAAGATTTCCGCTCGACCTTCCGCATGAGTGTAAAAATCCACCCGCTCATGATTATTTTATTATTAATGACGGGGAGTGACGTCACGCGCGTTACACACATTTCTGGGCTATTATAGTAATTAATTACCCTGCTCACCCCCCCCCCGCCACTCCTCACGAATCATAACAACTCAATACATTGCTGAGACCTGATTCGAGAACATGTTTTCCTAACATGTCTGTAATACATGGCAGAATCTCAATTAGTCACTGGGATTACAAACACAAACTATGAATTGAAAAACGAACATTCGTCCACACATTATTTAATGTGTGTATTGTGAGCTTAATAATAGGACATTCATAGATGAATTGGAATTGATGCATCATGCCACTCCGAGAAAAAGAATGTTTGGCATCGTTATTGACAGGGAAGAAGATTATGGTGATGGAAACATTTTGAGTCAAGAGAAAGATGTTCCAGGTGGGTGAGTGAGGTCAGCAGGGAGTGAAGAAGCAAACGGTGATTGACAAAGGTCTATGACCTGAATGTTACAAAAAGTAAACATTCAGTTATATTTACTTTATATCTAAGAAGAATTAACACATTTCACAGCAACGGGAAAACTCTCTCGATTTTACAGATAAAGTATCTGAAACCCCCACTAGTGTTAAATGAGCAATTGAGAAATATATATTTTATTAAAAATCTCAGAGAAATCTGGAGAAAAAATTACGAAATGGAAATCCATGGAAGTCTGTTTTTATCAAAGACCCCAAATTCACCAAAGATTACTTGCCAGTGACTTCCACCACAAGTTTTCACAGTGGAACAATAACTTGAGGGAAATAAATAGTCCAGGCAATTAAATCACGTGCGCTGTGATTACGTGGCGTAGAGCTACACAAAGAGTCCCTTTGGGCTTCAGAACACCAGTGGAACTGAGTGCATTGGGCTTGAGAGGAACTAAGTAGAACTGTACCGCCATTTAATCAGCGTGAGTCATTGTTTTGTATCTCAGAGCGCAGGGGATTTCAATCACGTATTGTAGGACACAGTGCGTTGGTTGGTTGATTGTAAGTGCGGTAAGTGCAGTGTTTGGCATGTGGAATGGTTGTCTTTCGAATGCACCGAAACGTTTTGCTATTCACAGCTCTGGACACTCTGCACCCAATTTTACATCGAGGTGTATAGTGGCGTACCTCGCGCAAGTAAACGCACAGGGAAGGCAATGCAAGCTGCAATCCCTTTACAACCCTTACACCCCATGCTCGTGCATGATAGTATGTGCATAACGTTTTCACTTTTGCACAATTTAGTAAAGACGGTAAATAAGATAGTCATAAAAACGACATAGGTAGGCAGTAGAGGTGCAGTGATTTCGTTTCCTAAGGGCAGTGACAGATGAGAATCGAAATTATGTCTGAACCAGTCCCTGTCACCCACCAGGACTCCCATCTCTCCCACCTGTCCCCCTTCACCAATCTGTCGCACTGAACAGTGTGGTGACGAATGGTATAAAACAACATCCATGACCAACACAGTATGGGAGGGTTTGCACCCAGAAGTGGTGCGCCAAAAGGCTTCAGATGATTAATAATTTAAATGAACACTTCCAGAGCAACACTGAATGTTCTTTGTACCAAATATCAAAATAGTTCACGGACAAATTAATACCATTTATTGTGCATAACCGTGAAGGATATCTGCATTATAACTAGCCATAGTCATAATTTCCTCTAAACTTTGCATCGGCAGTTAATCTGAACACACAATGCTCCTATAATCGCTAATTATATGGTATAAATGCACATAAATATAGTATATATTTCGTGTTAAATCTTGTAATTAGAAGTGTTGTGTATAGCACATAGCAAACAACAGTTTATCCCCTGAATAATGTGTAAATTCACACAGCTCAGATTCGATGAATGAAGACACTGATGAGAAATGTTCAACAAATCATAAAGCATGTCTCACAAATAAGTAGTAATGCTAACTTGTGAAAAGAATAGGCCTTTTAAACTTGCTCACTTGCGTGCTGCATACGTTACAATGATGATTCTGATGTGCATTACATTTATTAACATTTGTACTGAACATAGTAGTCTTTGCAAAGCATTCACGGGACTGTTTGAATTCAATTTGCAGAGCTTGTCCTCCGACAATTGCATAAATGTGTCGTTAAACTCGCCACCACCCGACACAGCCAATTCGTAAGGTTTTTCACGTAAAGAAAACATGCCATTTAGTTACTAGTTCAGCACACCGATGTGTTGGAGATGAAACCCAAAACATTTACAATACGAGTATGACGTTTCGCCGGTAATTACATCCAGCCTCATCAGGCGGCAGCCAGAATTGTAGTAGAATCCTTCTGTTTCAGTCTTAAATAGAGGATGTAAATGTGATGTCATCACTGTGAGCCAATTAGGTGCGGGGATCATGGGGGGGGGGGTGGAGGGTTAATGTAGTAATACATTACAAGGGTTTGACGACATTTATATTTACGTGATCTAACCCAAAAAACCTCCATTATGGATAATATTCGTGTTAAACTGGATAATATTCGTGTTAAACTGACAATACATAATGTCCTTTAAAGGATTTCGTTCAAATGCTGAAACCAGATGTGTCACTCTCCATGGCACCTGTCATGTTTGAAAGTGGGTTTTTGATGGGCATTTTTTCCCAGTAAATATACTTTGATATCTAAATTGAAAATTGTGGTATTTATATGAAAAAAATAATTGCCATTTAATGACATATTAAATTAACAAAAATTTATGCTGACATGAAACCACCCGTAATAACTTTAAGGGAGTTACGATGTTTAAAAACATCAGGGCATCATACATTTGATTAGCAAATAAATCTAAAAGTTAAAGTGTCTCCATGCTTAATGAGTTTTGGAGAGTATAAAACAAATTACATGAAAGGTTTTAATCAGCCAGTCTCATTTATGTAAGAATAAGTATTTATTATTTTTGTTAAGGTATGTTTCAATTCAAAGTTGCGGTATTAACAAGACAGTTTTAATGAACAACAGTAGTGTGACGATTCTTACCATGCTTCAAGTCTGTATATTTTACTTCAACGGACATTATGTTACTGAAATAATTTTTTACAATTCATAACATGGTTTTATTCCACAGATGGCAAGACTATATCTAATATAACATATTACGGTTTTAGTAATATAACCAAAGAACACAGAAAACGTGCGAAAGTTATTTTTAAGATTATAAGACCAAATTTTACTACCCAATTGTATCATAACACATTTGTAATGAATTATCACTTTCATGAACATGTGATCAACGATTCTGTAACGAAAACGGAATAAATTGATAGTCGACATGTAAGGCAGCATTTAACAAGGTTGCGTGAGATGTAAAATATATATCTTGTGAAAACACACTCGTGTATTGTACTTTATCTATTTCTCAAAAAACTCTCTCTCTCTCTCTCCTTAGGGAAGGTAAAGGGAACGAAGACAGTGAATTGAAAATAAAAGGCTGCACCCTGCAGGTCCAGCATGCTTTGCTACACGTCTGGACACAGCTATGCGCCAGCGGCCACAATGGAACGGATCAGATCACAACGCTACTCGGACCAGAGTGGTTCATGGATGTGACCGAACTGGTAAAGAGGCAAATAGAGGCTGAAGATACGAAAGTCGTTCACCTCCGCGGTGGAACAGTCGTGATTGGGCAAGAAACTGGAACCACCAACCTTAAGGTTAGCGCTGCATTTTCAAAAGTGAAGCCACATTATCAACCGTGTGCCTGTACACATGCCAATGTCAGGAATGCTATTGTAGAAGATGAAGATTTTTTTAAAAATACCATATTATGGAAGATGAAGATGTTACTGTTGTGGAAACAACCGTTTTATTGACAATTCTTGTATGGAGAAAATGTTCCTTGAAACGTATAACACCTCAAATAAGACATGTAGGTGTCATTCATTTACACACACTGCATTGTAGCCCACTACACAAATATATATATATAAAATATTAGGCGTTAAGGAGAAATATATATTAAATGTTACGTACCTTTAATTAAGTTTACATAAATTCTAGTTAGGGTGAAATCTTTCACATAAATGATATTATTATATTATTCTTTCGTATGGCTAATGTAGATGCAGAACAACAACTAACATTAAGGAAAACAGCATGAGTAGTATTGTACAAATATATTCGTATGTTACCATACAGGATACCTGTCAGTGTAAGTCACGTAAATTTAGCTTTGATTTACATATGTTTAAAATCTTAGCACAATATGTCCCCCCTTTTTTTTATCTGACTCATATTCCAGTCACAACCCTTGTCTTAAGAACATTAGATATGGTGGTGATTACGCATATTGTGTTTCAAGAGGAGTCCAGAACCAATCAATTAGTTTAGACCTCGGTGAGATATCGTTTCGATTCATTGTTTTACAAATCAGAGGATGAGAATATCCACACAGGAAGAACACCAACCCGTATTAGTCTTAATAATTTACAATGCATTTTCCACAGGTGTGGACTCGAGTCATGTGACTTGGACTCGAGTCAGACTCGAGTCATGAATTTGATGACTTCAGACTCGACTTGGACTTGCATAACAATGACTTTGTCCCACCTCTGGCATTTTCATGTATGCGGGACTTGGGTCACGGGCAAGGTTAGGGTCAAGATTGCGAGGTCGTTAAGGCCAATTTGGCTGATGCCACCAGACCCTGCCATCACTTTCTGCCTTTTTCTTGATCCCTCAGATGTTGCACAATAAGCACAACCAAGAAATTGCAGTGCCCCACTATCTGATTTTAAGTCTTCCCCTTGGTTCCTGATCTTTTGGAACCAACTCCATTGCCTGCTTTAGTTACTGTATGTGTCATCATCTCACACACATGCCTCCTCTCGGCTTCATCTACAGCGCTTTCTTGTTATATTTTTTACTTCTAAGTTGCATATCGTATCTTTCATGAAAATCCTTGCATCTGTTCAAAGGTCAAACACCAATTTTTCATTCTTAAATTGTTAAGATCTAACTGACTGACCTTTACATAAAACAGGTAAAAGTCTATTTCACCATCAAAAACAGAAGACATTTACATTTATTCATATTGGTCCATCGGCCTTCGAGGAATATTTGTTTGAGTGGATACACACTGGTTCACTTTGAACTTTCTAAGTCCCATAAGCAGAGTTTTTGTTATTGAATAAATTCTGTTGAGTTACTGTACCTTGTGTTACAGGCAATAGCTTTCCATTAAAAGTTCATCAGCTGTCAATGGAAGGGCTCTGGGCAAATCAGTGACATTTAAATTTATTTTTTATTTTTAAAGTGTTGATAATGAAATTTAAAGCAATTTAAACCTTTAGGCTGTTCCTGTGCTATAGGTAAACCCAATTATAATCCGTTTGCTAATTTTTTTCAGTTTAATGAAATGTAAATCAGTCGCTCGGTCAGTCGTGATGGTTGACATATAAATTATTGTATAGACATGGCCAAGGGGTAGTGTATTATTTACCTTTAGCTTCAGAGATTTGTAATTCGAGCCCTGGCATACAAACCAAGCAAATGTGCGATCTACTTCACAATAGACGCTAAAGATCACGTGACATTAAAAATAAAACATGTCCAGCCAGCACGAGGGTCCAAATTTTCCATATTTGAAAATCACTTGAAAAATACCTAATTGGGTAATGCCACACAGGAACATCGTCCCATACTGTCAAACTACTGCAGACTATACCCACCTGTGAAACATTGCACCTTCGTGATAGCCTTGTGCTATACAGATAGTGCAAACATCAAATGTACTGATAATTCGATTTGATACGACACATGCAACAACAACAACAATAATAAAAGATGAAGAAAAAACCCCACAAACTTCCCACAATCACTCTCGCCTACTTGCTTCACAGGTAATCTCACCTGTGTCTGGCGGCGTGCTTGGGGAGCGCGCGGTGACGGTGAGCGAGGAGAAGGTCTCCGTGAGCGGGCTGCACGTGACGCTGCTCTCGGGCCTCTCCCTGTCTCTGCGGCCCAGCAGCAGCGAGCCGGGCGTCGTCGTCGCCAGCACCACCGCACAGCACGGCCTGCACTCGCTCAAGCAGGTGAGAGGCTTCGGGTGTCCGGGCTCAAAGGAAGTACCTCTCGATTTAAAGCTTTCGTGACTGCAGGGATTCATCTTCTTGGTTCTTTCGGTAAAGTCACGTAGAAGGGAAATTATAAAATAATAAAAATAAAACATAATAAAATTATTCTCACGACGTTTCGGCCACAACGCAAGCAGCCGTCCTCAGGTGAAGAAAGGTCTGTCGGAAAGACAGCATCTGAATGAACACCACCAGGCTTGGCAGCGTATATTTAAGCTGGGTTGGAGGGGGAAGAGCGCCTTGACAAAGGAATTTGCATATCAAGAGGAATTTAGCATATTTATGGGAAATGCAGACATGGGATTAGTCACTACAGCACAGTAGTTACCACAGCTGCTGCCCTGTGATTGCTTGCTCACAGCATTGCTGACGAAAGTACCTCTCGATTTAAAGCTTTCGTGACTGCAGGGATTCATCTTCTTGGTTCTTTCGGTAAAGTCACGTAGAATTGAAATAATAAAATAATAAAATTAAAACATAATAAAATAATCCTCACGACGTTTTGAATCAGACTCTGTCTTCAGACTCTGTCTCCTCGACAGACCTGTTCTCCACCTGAGGACAGCTACTTGCGTTGTGGCCGAAACGTCGTGAGAATTATTTTATTATGTTTTATTTTTATTATTTTATTATTTCAATTCTACGTGACTTTACTGAAAGAACCAAGAAGATGAAAGTACCTCTGCTATCAAGTGCAATGAATACCCAAACACAAGCTTGCAAATTAAAGGAAAGTTAGTTAAGGTCAAACAATTACCCTCATAAATCTGCCTAACGAGTGGCTCTTGAAATCAATTTACAATATCTATCTTAGTAAAGTATTTAAAATACATTGTGTTGATGAGACGACACCAATGTTAATAATATTGAAGCTAAGGCAATCGGAATTAAATACAAGCATAACACCTTTGTTTAAAATGGTAAACGCTCGTTATTCATACCACGGCTAGCTGCGTGGCATTGTTTATTCAAGTGTTACGTTTTCTACACACATTTGTAGACATCAAACATGCATGGGACTAAGCAACTGTTTTACTGTTAAGCGAGCAATTAACCATGTTCTGAAAGCATAATTGTGCCTCAATAGATTGAAAAAGGTCAATCTGGGAAGAACACAATTGAACATTAAGATTTCATGAGGCATATAAAACTTGTGTTGGTCATGCATGAAAAAAATTCGGCTCTAAGCATAACAATCCTTAATAAGTGTCAATAAAAAGGATGTTTCCTGAATGTATGCTTATGGCCAGGAGCATGCGTGTTTGAAGCAGAGGCCTGTGGAGGGCATGTATCTCTCCACTTTATTGCCGGCTATAATCCCAGGTGCCTCACTAGATTGAGCAAAAAAACTAGAGTTAGTGCCGTGGCAGGATATTTCTTTCACACAAACACTAATGAAACAGTGGTCCCCCGTGTTTGTCAGGTTCTTTAACCGCGAACTTACTTTATTTTAAGTCAACGATTCACTTTGGAGACACGATGCTTCATTTTATGAGTTTTTATGTTAGTGATAAATGCGGATCTAATAACTACCTCTGGCAAAATGTGGTATGATTATTGTTAAAAACAGTGTTTCATCACCGATTAAAGTAAAAATACTGTTGTTACCAGCTCATAATGCCACTTCTGTATTCACCACTGCAATATATTTACATTATTGGATATCAAGACATTTAAATATGTTTCATCCTTTGAATAACTACACTGACAATGAGAAAATACATATTTACATCCATTATGCTAAAACTATGTAGGAACAATTAGCAATTTATTTATTTGGCCAATTTCATTGCTTGCAGCCAAAAGTGTATATTGTTTTTATGAAGATACTGTATGGGTCAACCAACATTGTTTCCTATTCATAATTTTGTATTAATCATGATAGGGAAAATACTTAATTTATAAAGTATATATTCAGTAAAGGCTTTGTTAGTGCTTTGAGGAGACAAGCTTGGAAAGTCTTGCCATTGTGGGTGTTTTTTCTCTGCCTAATTAATTATTATTCTCCGGCACAAGAATAGTGCCAAGGCCCTGGTGCTGGCTGGAAGGAGTGCTAAATTATTGCAGTGGCAGCTGAATTGCTTATAATTTAAAGGCAGCGTGGAGACCATCTGGAGCAGTATGGATCTTGGACCAGCTGCTTAAGAAGTTGGCTTTGCGCTAACACATGGATGGTAGTAATGCATACCAATGCAGACCCAGCATAAGCAAACAAATACATTTATCCACGTACTTTTCAGTGCACTGTGAATCATCGCCATTATTATGGACTAAACAAGGTAGGGCCATCTTACTGATGGTTTGTTTACAATGTTGCTGCCATTATAGTTAGAGTGTAATTTAATTAGCATAAAATAACACGCACTTATTTTGATTATATACCTTGGAGTATATATATATGATATATGCAACCAAATAAATTGGAAAGTTTGAATCATACTATATTTTTTGTGTAACACTAATATAGTGCTTCACTTTATTTTTTCGTGTTGTTTTCAACCAACGTAAACTGTATACCATACCATATACATGACCGCCCTATGAAACCTTAGGTCAGGGGGCATATGGAATGCCTCACACTGGCCTCAGGCCATCCTAATTAAGGGATTTACCCAAGCACCATCTGCTCCATTATTGGCGATGCTCTTCAATAACACAGTATATGTGGGTGAGGTACAGGGCCTGAAATAATTTGCAATAGAGATGCACTTTACCATTTTACTTTAATATGTTTTATTTGCTAACATGATTTGGCAAAATAGACCAAAAACGTTAAAAAAAAGTGGACAGTACATAAGCAATATGTATTGTTTTAGAAAAAATATCGGTATCACTACATTGCAAGAGCTTAGTAAACCATGTACAGTTTTTTTTAGCCTTCAGTCCCATGTTGAAGAAAAACCATTGATAATAATGCCAAGGATCATCTCTTATATCTTTGATACAAACTGTAATTGTTTTGATTGTTTTACTTCAAATTATGTGTATTGTATAAGATCACTGAATGATGCCGTAGTATAGATCCCAAGGTCTCCGGCTCGATGGCTATCACCTGGCATGGAAGTTGAAATAATGAGTAAGTTTCAGTGTCTCTCTTTCATATGGCCAATGAAGATCAACTGCTAGAGATTTAGTTGCAAGTGATTTAGCCATTCAATTACTTTGTTTGACAGTTGGTGAATTTCAGATACACCCACCACCTTCAAATGTATATTTGAGGAAGTCGCACACAGAAAAGCAAAAACATTCCCACCTGTGTTATCGGCTGTCTGCATTTTCCGTGGTTTGTGCGGATCCAGTTTAGCAATAGCCATTGTCTCCATACAAGATGCCAGTCGGGCAGTGTGGTGTTGGGCCTTGCCAATCAGGAGTTTGTTGGACACGTTGCTTGCAGCCTATGCATTGGTGCATGCCATTTCAATGATGGAATTCACATCCCGCAGAGTCTGTGCGTGTTTCCTAAATAGATTTCTGGATCTTGGCTGTCGGAAACGGGTTGTCATTCAGATCGTCATTGATTGGCAGGTTTTGGGTCGGCATCTAATCGGCGCAGTTCACGGAATGCTGCACATCTGGTGGTGCAACAGTTGAAAATACAGGAAGCCAAGGAAATGGTGTGGATTTTAAAGTTTCCGTAATTGTTCGTATCACGATGTTCGGTTCGGTATTAATGAGTCGACAGTGGGTGCTTTTTTGCCATCGCTGGTGTGCAGTCATTAGCAGTTCAGTACGTCCAGGCAATGGCCACAGTCAATGGCGGAGCCAGGATTTTCAGGTAGGGGGGGCAAACCCTCCAGCAATGAAAAATGATAGGAGTTGTTAGTAAATAAGGACTTGTCCCTTGCTTTTTATTCGACGCGCGTGCGGCGATGGCACAGCCATCGATCGAGGGTCGAATTCAAACCGTGTTGTGTGATCGGCATCACGCTCGCTGAAGGTGTTTGCCTTCAGGGAAGTTGAGTCCTGTATACGCAACTGTGCACAATTCTGTGAGTCACTTATAACTGTTTTGCCGTTACTTATTGCCAATTATGGACTCGGACTATTGTCCTATCATCTCATAAATTCCTTGGTACGTAATAATATGCTACACAGTGGCAGTGGGGGTCGCAAAATGCAGATTTATTACTAATAAACACCAATGATCCGATCGAAATCCCTAATTTCGATTGGATCATTGGGGAGGCACGTGCCACCACCCCCCTTCCCCCCACGGCATCCAAAGCACTGAGACAACCCTCACAACGAAATTTTGAGTAATATTCACCCTTGTCTTGATTATGCCGGTAACCTCTTTCAGATGCTCATTGAAAGTCAGTGTATGCTCAAGCGTCACGTCGAGGTCGATTGGCCTCGGGAAATGTCGCGCCTTTTTGTCACGACAAAGTCACGTCGAGTGTGGCTGTCGAGACGAAGTGCCGAGGCAATCGATTTGTTTGGTCTCCATCGTCGCTTTGACAGTACTCCTCCACAATGTTGGGGTCAGAGTTGAGAGTGGCCTCCACCTCACCGAGGCCCGAGGCCTTGTGTAGCCACGGCCACGTGGTCCGCGTGCACAAACTTGCGGGACGTTGTCCATGGTGTTATCGCTTTATTGCCGGTTGAATAGTGTCGGAGTGAGCACAGATTCCTGGGCAAGTCCATTATTCAGGGCGGAGGTATACTGACATGTTCACTCAACAGTACTAATGGGTAAACGGCAGCATGGTGAGTGTGGTGGGCTAAAGTGTGGGTACTCCCTCCTCTTCCACGATGCCTGGCTAGTGTGGAAGAATAGGCTAAATACCCTCTGGAGGGGGCTATTTAGAGCTCCTTCTAGTCGAGGTCCTTCGACCAGCAGTGGAGTGCCACGGTGGCGAGATGTTAACTACCTTGCCTAGTATGCAGGAGGTCCTGGGTTCGATCCCAACCCTGACACCTGTATATTTGGAGTTTGCATGTCTCTCTCCCCATGGTCG